CCGGTATCAGTCCCATTTTCTCTGCCATTCCTGTAACTCTCACCGGCGAATATGCCTCGGTCACGTGCGCCTGAGTTTCATGTTGACTAGCTCCATAAAGCTTGGTGGCTCTCCTCACCTCGTTTAATTGATGCACGACGTTCAATTCCCCGCTTGTCAACCATTCAACCAGCTCAGAGTTAAATCCCATCATGTTAAGCCCCGATCTGATATCGTTCACCTCCGACATTTCTTCATCTTGTTCTGGATTAAGTTGACGATGTTGAGTTGCCTGTTGATCTTCTTCGTCGTGATCGCCCTCTGCTTTTCGTTTGATGGGTTCACTTGGGGGGTCCTTCATTTCTTCATCTTCCACTTCAAACTCGGCCCATCCGGTCCAGTAACCGTTAAAGGGGTTTCCCATGGCCCATGTTTGGTCATCTCCCTCTTCACCATACCAAGCGTCTTCGTGCTCATGTATTTCACCACTGTCAATCATGATGGCATGGGTAAATCTTCTGGGCTTAAGTTTGTCCCAGTTTACAGGACATCCACCATTGGTGGGAAAGGCTAACTCTTTTCTTGGTCGCCGGCGTTGACATATAACTTTGTTTCCTTTTACTACCCACGCATCCTTTGCTTCCTCAACTTTAGCGTTCGGCGGAGGTGGCACGTTGGTCCTCAATCTTTTCGCTTGACTTTCTAATTCTTGATTTTGATTTTCCGGCGCACGGTTTGCACTTTCGAGTCTCAGTTGGGCAGATGCTAGCCGTGCCTGGATGTTTGGGCTCTCTTGTTTCTTTAACCACTCGATAACCCGAGTCCTGCAATCAGCGTTATGTGGTTTGTGCTCTTTGTCTCCTCTATTGAGACATTTACATCCGTAACATCCCGGCGTCGGTCCCATTTTTAAATTTTCATGCTTCTTTACAGCGATTCCTCGTGCAATAAGTGGCTTCGTCTCAGGTGCAGTTAACTCTTGCTCTGGTAGGTCCATGGGTACCATGATTCTAGACTGTAATTCCATTCCTGCCGCACTGGGGTCAGGCTGCCAAGGTAACCCCTTCATCTCGGTGATCTCGACAATATTCCATCTTTCCGCCTCACTTCCTTTTCGCTTAAACTCGTGCGCCTTGATTGCCCCATTTGGTGTCCCAATAATCAACTCCTGACTCTTCTCGTTTATCCCCAAAAACACTCCACTTTCCCATCTCATTTCAAGCTTCTCGCGGCCCTTGTGCGCAGGCGTCTTTAAGCACATGACACATTCGCCAAATTCAGGAATTTGCTTATTAAAAAACTTTCTTCCCCTGCACCTCTCATGGGACGTCTTCCCATCTGTATCTATCGTGAACTTGTTAATCAGAGAAGACGCATAGCTCACCAGCCACGGTATTATCGGGTGACTCTCACCAAACTCAGTCCTATAATTGGCATCCAAAGCACTCTTTAACGTTCTGACTTGACCCTGCACCGTTCTAACAGCCCTCTCGATTTCACCGTTGGCCTTTGAGTCACCCACTGGACTGACTTCAACACCCATGTCAAGGTCACACGACGCTTTGATTCTATTGGCCAGTGCCGTAATTGCTGCTTCTCCATCGCTTTTGAGAATAACCTTCTTGTATCCGGTAAAGCTGATCATGTCACATCCCACCTTTACTGAGTATGAGTCCACTCCTTTTTTCATCAACACTCTGCTCCATGTTAATTTGGTCTCCCTGCAACGCATGACCAGAATTGGGCTGCCATTACTGGCACTTTCACCTTCTTCCTTTTTTCCTTTAAGCCACATGTAGTCCATTGAAATCACTGGCACGTTTCCGCTCCCTTCTCTTTTGCGTCTACGGTGATTGCGCCTGCGTGCTTTTCCTCTAACACAATGTGGGCACCAGCTTCTGCAAGGTAAATGCGTCGTGTCGTGCGTCTCAACTTCCTCCTTTGAGGGCCTCATGTCACAGTAAACTTTCTTCGGTAACTCTGCTTCATCGCTCACAAATACATCTTCCACATCACTCAACTCACTCTCGTTGCCCCCACTTTCACTCCCTTCGTCTCCTTCGGTATTAAAGACGTTTAAGTTTTCGCTTGGTCTTACGGGTAATGGGGGCTTAGTAGAACAGGTCCGCCTCCAGGGTTCCCGGCCGCGGAAAACCCTCAGCTGCGTTCACTTCACTCCTGGGATTAACAGCTTCCGCTGGTCCCCTCGGCACCGTAATGTTAAACTGAAACGTGCCGTTCTTCTCGTGGATAGTTGCGAATTTGCCTGTGGCCTTATTCATGATGTGGCTCAGGGACCTCCCGTTAAGATCCTTGTCAAACACAACTCTATTTCCAGCGTTTACCATTTCTCTGACGGATCCCAGCATTTTGTTGACTTCTGCTACCTGGATCGGCATACTGACTGCGTTCCCATGTTCATTTTTGCCCGTGATCACTCGTTGACCATAATTCTTTATCGTCGTCCCATTCGCTGCGCTGTAATGTCTTCCTTGCTTTGACGCATCCGTATGCTTAATGGGGAAATAGGTGCCAACCTTGGGGGGTCCCACTGTGTTATGCGCCCCAGAGTCCACGGTAACCACGATTGTCTCATGCGTTGCACTCAGTGGTGGCACCGCGTTAATTTCTGGATCACAGTCCCGCATTTCAATTAGCCAGATTTCTCTGCATTTGTCTAGCCAACTTTTTTCCTGTTTTATGCTTTTACTTATCCTCTGGCCCCATTGACTCACATGATTACAATCTCCGTTACATTGATGCTCCTGGTAAATTCTTTTCATACTCATCGCAGTCCTACGCGCCATTTTCTTTCTGGCATATGAGGGCAGATCCCATTGCCCGTTAACCTCCTCAGTTGCGAATGGGTTCAGTGGCACGTTCACTTCGTCCTTCAACTCAACGCTGAGAACATGTTGCGGTTGGCCGAACGAGGTAGTTTGTTCACTTTCAGCGTTCATTGTAGGTCTCTCCTGCTCAACTTCGTTGGCGGTCTTCTTGGAGCCCGGGCAGTTAATGGCGATGTGCCCTTTGGCACCGCACTTGTAACACTCACGCTCGCTATGGAGAGTGAATTTTCCTTGGCCCCCATTACTTCCACCCCACGAGCCACTTCCTTTACCACTTTGTTTACCGCCGATCTTACCTTTCACGTAGGATCCGTAGGTGGCCCGGTAACCTTTGCCTTTTCCGCCTTTGCCACCTTTACCTCCTTTGGTAAACTGTTTAGGTCTTGTGCAATTTCTGGCTAAACGGCCCACGCCTCCACAATTGTAACATTTGGGGCCCGCGCCTTTACCTTTGCCTTTGTTTACGGCGTCAACTTCTTCATGGCCCCCACTGTCACTCTCATTGGCCCAGGACCCGTAACTCCACGATCCATCTTCTGGCCACCAGTTTCCGCCCTCGTCAACCCATCCTGTTTGGTCCCAAACATTTTCGGACCCTTGACCCATCTCGTTGATGTTCCCAATGTCCATCGCATCTTTATTTTTTGTGTCTGAATCGAGTTTCTTCTTACGCGCCCAGTCTTCGCACTTGGAGTATAACTTCTGGAATGAGTCAATGTTAAGCGCGTCGGGCGTTCGCCAGCACGCCTGCTGCCATTCATCAAACCAATCGTTCGCATGCACCATTATTGCCCTGAGCGCGGTGACTTTAAAAGGAAGAGGCAGCGAGTAATCTTTACCGTACTTTTCAAGGTTTTCTGCCAATGCGCTCCACTCCTCAAGCCGGGTAACGGTGTCAGTAATCTTCTTGGGCGGCTCAGGGTTCATGGCGCGCGTCATCTTCGATGACAGAGTCGCTCCGGTAACAGCCGAGTACCATTTGCAGACCTTTTGCCAAGCCCTGATTCCATCTCCATCCATAAGTCCCTTTAATTTTCCTCTCGCTTCTGCACCTTCGAGCTTCTCGTTGAGAATGTACCATAAGTCTTCCTCCATTTGAGTTTTGTCTCCCTCGGTAAACTCGTACTCTCCTTTGTTGTCATCCTCTGCTTGTTTAGCTGAATTCGCCTTCAAGTATTCGCTCGCTGTTAATCGGCCGTTCATTATGCGTATGATGTCATCATCGTCCTCCTCTGGTACAACTCCGTCGAGCGTCTCCAACTTCTTGTTTAGCATTTTCAGCGCCGGTCTGTAACTCGGTTTTACTTGGGCCAGTGCGTTTAAGAACTTGTCGTTCCAGTCTCTGAACTTTGCTCTTTCTCCACTGAAGTTCTTTAACGCCTGTAATGCCTTATATTCGCTTATCGGTTTACCGCTCCCGTGCTTGCTTCCACTTCCTCCTTTAATTGCTTCCGAAAGCTGACCAATTTGTTCAATCAACTTTTCTTGTACCTCGCTGTTGGTCTCCAACTCGGTAACTCTTTCCACCAGTCTGCGAGCATCCCTTTCAAGTGCAGCATTTCTTTTCGTAATCGCTAACAACATGCTGTTGGTCTTATGAGCACTCTGTAACATTTGGAATGCCTCGGCGTTCGATACCTCCCTTCGGTCCTGTGTCACTCGCTCGTTGATGAACGTTGCGAGTCCGAAATGGTTCGCGAGTAACGCTGTCTGGACGTAACTGAAGTCTCCGCTCAGGTACGCTTGCTCACACAGGTCGTTGAATCGGTTGGGGTCCATGTTGACCCATGCGTCTCTGTCTGCCGGCACATTGATGTTAACCGGCGGGTCGCCCTGCCCAGGCCTAGCTGCAGCGGCCGCCGCCGCCGCCATGGCAACCGCGCTCCGCTACCATGCAAAACCCCGAGGAGGGTTCTGCACGGGAGCCTGGTAACAATGATGATGATAGGTCACCTTTATACTCCCGCACGGCGAAGCAAGTCTCGGTAGCTTCAGCCGTTAAACACTTGAGCCAAAGGCAACAGGGTTACTATTCCTCCCCAGTCACCTGAACGCTTGCATGTTAACACCTCCCCCTCCTCCTCCTCCTCCTCCTCCTCCTCCCCCTCCCCCTCCTCCTCCTCCTCCCGAAAGCTGGCGGCCGCCGGCGACGCGGGAGCGGAGCCGCGTCTCCTGCTGCCCCGGCCTTCTGCTTCGGCCTGGCGCACTCCTCCTCCAGGTTTTGGACCCTCTCCTTCAGGCGCTCCCTCTCCTTTCGCACGGGGGAGGGGGAGGGGGGGGGGACAAGCTAGGTGCGCTCGCGTCGTATCTGACGTCCTACCCCTCCCTCCCATCCCTTACCATGGCGCTGATTTTCTCCTCCAGGCTTTGGACCCTCTCCTTCAGGCGCTCCCTCTCCTTTCGCACGGGGGAGGGGGAGGGGGGGGGGGGGGGGGAAGAGGTGGGGAGGAGGACGGCGTGGAAAAACAGAAGGATCAGAGGGACCAAGGAGGGGAAGGGGGAGGAGAGAAGAGAAAACAGTGCAGGCAGGACTGGGCGCAGACTATCCACCCACACCGGGCCTTGCCAGGCCAATCCTGGGCCAAAGCACCAAAAGAACAAATTACCCCATAGCGGCCCTACCTAGAAGTTGGAGCCCCTAGGTAGCGTCCTATGTTATGCTGCGTCCTATGCTGTGCTGCGCTTTGCTATGCTGTGCTGTGTTGTGCTGCGCTATGCTATGCTATGCTATGCCATGCTATGCTGTGCTGCGCTCTGCTATGCTATGCTATGCTTGGCTATGCTATGATACGCTATGTTGCGCTATGCTATGCTACGCTATGCTATGCTATGCTGTGCTCTGATGTGCTAAACTCAACGAAGCTAAGATGAAGGTAAGCTAAGCTAAGATGAAACTAAGCTAAGCTAAGATGAAATAAGCTAAGCTAAGATGAGATAAGCAACGCTAAGCTGAGGGGACGTAACTGGGGGAACCGCGGGGCGGATACTGGGGGAACCGCCCGGGCCGGTTCCCACTGCCCGGCCCTTTAAGCCAAGAGCGTAAGAACCCTTCTAGGCAGAGCCTAGGTAGGGAATACAAGGATGAGTTATGCATATATTAATTCATACATTAATCATGTATTAAAAGCTATGCTATGCTATGCTGCGCTATGCTATGCTATGCTATGCTGGGCTATGCTATGATATGTTGTGCTGCGCTATGCTATGCTACGCTATGCTATGCAATGCTGTGCTCTGCTATGCTAAAGCTCAGCGAAGCTAAGATGAAGGTAAGTTAAGCTAAGATAAGCCTGAGCTAAGATGCAACTAAGCTAAGCTAAGATGAAATAAGCTAAGCTAAGATGAGATAAGCGACGCCAAGCTAAGGGGACGTAACTGGGGGAACCGCGGGGCGGATACTGGGGGAACCGCCCGGGGCGCTTTCCACTGCCCGGCCCCTTTAAGCCCAAAGAGTAAGAACCCTTCTAGGCAGAGCCTAGGTAGGGAACAAAACTTGTCCTCCTCCTCCTCTTCGTCCTCCTCCTCCTCCTCCTCCTCCTCCTCCTCCTCCTCCAGTCGCCACTTCTGCTCCAGGCAGCAAGCGACTTTATCGGCCACCCTTCCACCATGGGCGGCCCCATTAGACAGCCATGAGCCCTAAGGAGCTCCTGGCCAGCCGCGATGGCCGTCTCGGCATTGTCTCTCCTGGTGTACAACCCCTTGCACGCGACAGGAGACAGGCTGCTGGATATTGTGGCAGAATTACCTAATGTACACGTACTCGAGCTTCCTCGCACTCAACGAAAGGCTCCCCAAGATTGCCCATATCAAGCCAGTTGATCCAGCAGAGAGTATGTCTTGAAGCAGGGTGGCAAGCTGGTGGTTTCTCCAAGTGTTCTGCTGGTGCTGCTGATGTCCTCCCGACAGGCTGGCGATAAAAACATGTTCGTCGTGTCGAGGTTCCTCCCCCACCTCTCCAAGGACGAGGTATAGCGATTCATGCAGGGAACGGTGAGTGGCATCTGTTCGCTGCTGTGCTGTACTTCCCTCCGCGTCCGTGCTCGGCCGTCGGACTCAGACCATACCCTGCGCGTTGCAAGAAGCTATCAGAATGGATTCTCGGACTCCTCAAGAAGCTGCCTGCTAGAGTTCACACGATTAGAATGGATGATGCTATTGACGGGGTGGGATTTACTAAGGTGGATGGTCTATGGGAGGTGGCGAGCACGGCGGTGGTGGGAAGGGTGAGGACCAAGGGGAAGCACGTTGGAGGAGGTCAACGGTTTCGTCAAATCTTGGAGGCAGCTGGCCTTTTCACCCCTACAACGACGTCGCATTATGCACCTGCGTTCTTTGGGAGTAATGGGGGAAGTAATACGCCGATCCTGTCGGCGTGTGTGAGGGGCTTTTCCGTTCGAATCGGGCTTTTCCGTTGGAGTCGTCGTCTCCGCCCTTCTCTGTTCCATTTGCCTGGGCCCTCTCCCTCATACGCGCCGTCCAAAGCAAGATTGACCAACGTCGGAGTGGAATCGAAGGGCAACCCCTTCCCTCTGATCCATTCCCAACGCCAGAGGGGGGAGTCCCGGGGGGATCCCGGGGGGGTCCTGGGGGGGTCCTGGGGGTCCAGGTGGGGTCGCCACCCAACTTCATTTTCCCCCCGCCTCGGCCCCGGCCCCGGCCCTGGCCCCCAGCCCCCAGCCAGCCCCAGCCCCGGCCGTGGCCCCAGCCTCGGCCTCGGCCCCGGCCCCAGCCCTGGGCCTGGCCCACGCCGCGGCCCCAGCCCAAGCCTCAACAGAGCTCCCCCCCAGGCCCTCCTCCTCAAGCGCGCCAGCCAAAGCTAAATTGAGCAACGTCGAGACTGACGCGAAGAGAAGCCCCTTCCCTTTGATCCCTCTCCCCGCTGGCAGGGGGGGGGATCCCTGGGGGCCCCGGGGGTGTCCTGGGTCAGATACGACTCCCCCCGGGGTCCCGGGGCCCAAGAAAGCCCCAGCACGGGCCATGAGTGCCCCGAAAGGCCCCCAAGACGGTCCAAGAGGGCCCCGAATCGCCAAACGATCTGTCCAAGATGCCTTGACGGCCTCCAGAAGGGCCAAGAGCTCTGCAAGACGCCCCAAGAGGCCTCCAGGAGCACTCCCAAGAGGGCCCCAAAGGGAAAATCACTGATGTCACATTGGTTTTGGAAACATTTCGGCGTTCTCGCCTCTTCCGCTTCCCGACGCTCCAAGACGGCCCAACAGGCCCCCCCAGATCGCCTCAAGACGGCCCAAGAGAGCTGCACAAGGGACCCAAAACGAACTAAGAGGGCCCCAAGACGACGCGAGACGCTTCTAAGACGGCCCAAGAGGTCCCCAAGACGGCTCCAAGAGGGTGCCCAGACGAAATCCCCGAGAGGCTCCCAGGAGGAACCAAGAGGCCCCCAAGAGGCCCCCCCAAGGCCCCAAGAGGCCCCCAGGAAGCCCCGAGGCCCCCAGGAGGGTCCCAAAAGGCCCCCAATAGGCTCTGAAGAGGCCCCTCCTCAGTTTCCCCAAGCAGGATCTCAGCAGTGATTCTAGAACTCACACGGCATTCGCCGCTCGTCCTGCTCCCTCACTACTTTGAAGACTCGGTCGGGCTGGCAGCCATCGGGTGGATGCAGAGCCACCACAGCATGCCAGCATCTGCCGTAGCAGATTTCAAGATGCCACCATCAGCAATCCAGTAACCCAGCCCGATGAGCAGAGGAGGCTTTACTCTGGTTGCCCATCGAGCCCAACCTATTTCGTCGCCAACGACAGGTCCACATTGGACGGTTTCACCATGAATTCCGCTCTTGGGGCAGCGTCGATGCTCTTACTGAATACTCGCTCTCCCCGCATCGGCCCATCGTCGCCCAGTTCGCGATAGGCCACAGTCCCCTACTGCCTCGACGAACTAGACCTCAGCGGCCCCCTACCAGGCGCCCCTTGGGGACCCTCGTGAGAGCCTCTGCAGTGGAGCAGGTCTGCCGCAGCGGCGCAGCAGCTTCAGAGCAGTATCCAGGAGGACAAGGTTTCTGACTACCAACCCAACCCGAAGACCCGAATTTCGGGTCGGGGGGTACGGGCTTCATATGTGTTGTTTCAATGTTCCCCGACCCCCCCCCCCACTGGAAATGGAGGGCAAATCGGGGCCTTCGGGTTGGGTTGGGTTTCGGACACTCAGCGTTGCTGGGACCTGGACGCAGCTCTCGACGTGCACATGCTGGACCTGGGGGCTACAATTGCGCAGCAGACAGACACCCCTCCTCCTCCCCCTCCTCCTCCTCCTCCTCCTCCTCCTCCTCCTCCTCCTCCTCCTCCTCCTCCCTCCTCCTCCTCCTCCCTCCTCCTCCTCCCTCCTCCTCCTCCTCCCTCCTCCTCCTCCCTCGCTGAGTCGCGACAGCCAGTGTCAACCCCGCGACACCGTCTGGGCGAAGGCCAAGGCCGAGAAGTCCAAACATCGAGCAGGCTGGCAATCGTACGCATGCCCTCTACGGTGGCCAAACAATCGAGTGGGTGATGTACCTGGGGCAGTGCACATCGCCCCCCCCTGCCAGCCTGCGAGAAGTTCTTTCGTCTCTCCAGGATGCGCCTCAGAAGTTCCAGGCAGCTCAGGAGCTGCAACCTCTTTGTCAGCAGATTTCGCTAACTTCTCGACGCTCTCATCGCCGACGCGCAGAGAGACGGCGTGAAGCAGTGCCCCAGCGAGCACAGCACATCTTTAACCACTTCCAAGAGGAGGTGACCAACTTTCACGATCATGAGCGCTCTCAGGAAAGACTCCAAGCCAGCCCCCAGAAACAATGAGTCTCAGAACAGATGGCCAAGATAATAGGGTGGGCCCACAAGTGGACCAAAGATCACAAGGTCTGGCAGCCCCAGGAAGTCAAAGCAAAAGACGATAGGTGGTCAGAACGCCCCACCAAGCTTTTGGAGCATGACCCGGACCGCCTCTCGGGAGCTCTGGGAGGCCCAAGGAAAACCCCTTCCCCGTGTCCCAGGGCAACCAGGAGAAGCAGCTCAGCTCCCACCCATCACGTCCCAGTCTCTCAGGAAAGCCGCCCGGACTTTCGGCCATCAAACGCGTCGGAACTGGGATGAAGCCCACCCGAAGCACTTCGGGCTGCTCACAGACGAGCAGCTTCAGATCTTCGCGGACCTGCTCACCAGCGTCGAGCAGCAAGGTACCATGCCTTCTCAGATCCTGGCCATCATCACGAACCGCATCCCCAAGTTGAAGGCCGCTGGAAGGGCCTGCCTACAGCGGGATCGGTCT